AAAAAAAAAAAAAAAAAAAAAGTCGAAATAAATCTGAATTACCCCCTTTTTTTTCTAGAATGACTTCAAATTTTAACATGAAACTACATTTTTTTTATCCTAAGTGGCTTTACACTTGTAACAGTATACATCTATTTATACTTAAATTTTATTGCCCTTTGAACTGTGTCTAACTACTATTCGCACCATTATAGCTTGTAAATCACTTGGGGAACATGCAGTTCATGTTACACTATCAAATTATACTACCTACAAGCTACTACTCCAAGCTGCTCATGTGCATGCCTCATGAAAAATTTGTTTATTATATTATTAATATTTATTTTACCTAGTCTAACCTTAACTAAAGACTTTCCTATTTTTTTACATTTTAGTTGCTTTTATAAAAATAAATAAATAATACACGTGAAAAATAAGAAATAAAGTATTTACCTGGGCCATTTTTTTTGCTGTAGACTGTCAATGACACTTAACCCTACCTTTTTATACTAATGGTTGTACTGCACTAAATTTTTATTTAACTAAATAATGCATCAAAGAACATAGAAAAACAATAGCAACATGCAAAATGCAAACAATGTCCCATAATTATTACAATTTTCTGGCTTTCTAACTATGCAACAAGAGCTGTTACAAATTCATCCAAGCTAGTCGATATCTTTCCCGTGGGCAGAAGCTTGTACTAACAGAAAAACTGACAATTCTCTGTTCAGAAAACAACATAATGCATCATTTGACAGATGAAAACCTTGGCTCTCTATTGGTTATAAGCAATGTAGTATTAAACGTAAGAGAGAACTATTAATAAATTCTGAAAGAGAGGATGTGACAGGTGGGTGTGGCAAGCAGGTGTGTGGTTTTCTATTTGATGACTTTGTAACCAACCAAAATTGGAGGCTATAAAAATTATGTTTTGTCTAAGAGATGAGCATTTTATAGTGAGTAATTTACATTAAATTTTGTACATATTGGAGGGGTGGTGAATAAATTAGAGAGGAGAGGATGCCTAATGAAAAAAAAAATGTCATTTCTCACAATAGGGGAAATTCAGGAATTTTTTAATATTACATTGGGAAATGAAGACCTTAAAACTTGTATACTGTTAAAACATGGATTATTAGCTACGATTTTATGCTATACTAATTTGTACAACATGAATAAAAAGTAGTTTAATTAAATTTTGAACATAACTCACTAAAAACCTCATGACATGCAGGAAAGGATGCCTGTGGCAGAGGTTAAATAGAAGTTTTATCTCTAATAATAACCATTTGTAATGACAATTTTAAGACTCAATGTGGTGGGGGGATTGTTAAAACCAGTAAATGAACTTGTATGTAAACCCACACTAAATAAATAAGTAAATGTATCTATATGGCTAATGATAAAAAAATTAAAATAAGCTGAACTCAACAGAAGTGAGTTACAACCAAAAACTTAGCATATGCAAATGTCTGGTTTTAATAAAATATTTGCTTAGGGTTCTAACAAATTAATCATCTATGTAACATGTTTTCAACATGATTAATAATAATAATAATAAAAAAAGTACATAATATAATATAAGACTATGACTAATCTCTATTCTCTCCAGAAAAAAATCAAAACTACATTTTAAGGACAGTATCAAGTAAAATAGACTGTAGAAAATTAAAAAAAGACTTGATATGGGTACCTTTAGTTTTTACTTAAATTTTTAATTACTATTGTTTAAATAATGATGTATTCTGTCTTCTTATATGCTGAGCAGCTCTTTGGCCTTTAATTTTGTTTTACTGAAAATGCAAGTAATTTTGCTCCAAAAAATTAAGTATTACTGTACTACAAAAACCAGCAAACCATGGTAATTTATTATTTTAGTCTTGATTAAGAGAACTGTGAAATTATATACCTATGCAATCATCTTACACACACCTGAATTTTGAAAAAGCTTGATCATCTCCCGCTGAGAGATTCAGAGGAGAGACAGGTGTAAGAGAACTGGAGATTGCTGGTTCAATGGTTTGTGGTGGACTACTTGGAGCTATGAATAATGATTTGACTTTAGGTAGAGAAGACATTCTCCTTAAAATCAACGAGGACTTGAGTGAACTGCTTGATTTGTCAGCTGTGGATGAAGTTACTGAATTTCTTCTACTTGAAGAGAAAAGAAGTCTTGTGTGAATAAAAATTGTGGTTAAAAATGTAAAAAGATACAATAAAAATATGTGAAAGATGAAATTTCAATAGCAATCACAGAACACACAATAAGTATCTTTCCTTGTATCTACAATTACATTTTTTTTAGTTGTAGTACATTAATCCTTTAAATTTCATACATATAATTTCACCCTAATAAATTCCAATCACTTTAACCTTAAATCTTCATTGCCAACACTACAAAATTTTAATAAATATTGCTTTAGTTTGTACAAATATCCTGGACAAATACATAATTTTTTAAGATTAACAATGTTTGGAAGAGTTGATGTTCACATATAAAATTAGTGGCATTTGTTCATACTAGGTCACTGAAAATTATGCAAGGTAATATAACAAATCACGTATAATAATCATACAAGTCTTAAGTTTGAAAATAAAATGACTAAAAATAAGCATGTACCAAAAGTGAGATATTTATTAAACAGAGAATACTCAGGAGTTCACTGTGACATTTAAAAGTATAATAGAGCTAAGTTCTTGGCTTATGTACATGCTTTTAATTTACATAAATTCCATTAATTTACCAATACATCACTTTTGTACATCCTTTAACAAAACGGTCCAAGTTTTGTTACTTTTTCTATTATTTTATCCATATTTTTTGGGTAGTTGAGGAATGTTATATACCATATACCTAAAACAAAAGTTCAGGTGAAAAACTAATCACCATTCAAGCCAACAATACTCAAATGTTTTTCATGTAGGTTTCTAATTTTATAAAAAAAATCATTGATATAGCAAATTTTACATGATCTTACTTGATGAAAACTTACCTAAATATTTCCTTAGACAGAGAGAGAGTGGTGTTAATTGAAACAAGCTCATCAGTTGGTTGAATTCTCTTAAATAATTCAACACTTGCAGGTTGAGTAGAAGTTGCTTCTTTAATTACCTAATTCATAGATTAAAATAAGAAAAAAAAAGAGTTTACATGTTTAAATCCCTTATCAAAAACATATATATGTTTTGAAAAAAAAGAAGAAACAAAACAGCAAAATTTTTACATGAAATATTCAGAATTTAACCAACAAATAATCTTCATTGTTAATACAGCACAACACTAAGGGGTATGTGGTGTTACAATAATAGAAAGATCCTGAGAATGGTTGTTAAAAACAAAATATTAAAACAGCCGAAATAAACAAAATGGGTCTAAGAAGAAAAAAGTTTAGCTTTGAGCTTTACTAATTCCACACAAGAAATATCAATGAAGTTGTTCAGATGTGAACAATGATATCATACAAGTACATATTCATCACAAAAATTCACAACAGCGAGTTAGTTGTGAAAGAAAGAAAGGAATATCACCCTTGTGATTTAAGATCCACTAAGTACCATGAAAAATATTTTATAATGATGTTGCAGTGTGTTGTTAAATTGCGAAAAATAAAATTTGGTTCTCTATAATCCTGATTTCTATGTTACATAAAGTTGCATCTGTATAAATGGTTTCACAATCAGGAAAAGGTCAAAAACAAACAGCATTTCAGTGTAAAGTACTGTAAATGAAGGATTTACAAACTTGCAGTTATTTCATGTACTTTTTACTTAAAAATCAATAATTCTCAACAGCTTTAGTAAAATTTCTTTTATGACAGTAGGAAGATTTTATAACACAAAATGGCCAAACATCATTAAAGAAATGCTCAGATAAGAATGGGGCTGAAATTAGATAATTCAAACACTATTATTTTTCTGCCCCTGGGAAATACTGATGTCTAATGATCTACTGAATACAGGCAGAGTTCGGAAAGTAAGGACTCGGGCAGAAACAAGGGAAAAATTAATGTGGCTACAGCACACAAATCATTCCCAAATTTATTGAAATTATTTCAGCCAATTCCTCAGCTTGTTTTAGCTATAAAAAAACAAAAAACAAACAAAAAAAACACGTTAAACAAACTGTCTGAGATATCAACAAATATTAATATTCATGATCATCTACATCTGAACTGTCAACATTAGGATGTACTTCATACTGCCTATTTTATAATATCTACTCCTAGCATCAATACAAAACATACCTAATACTGTGTTACATATAATTTCACCCTAATAAATTCCAATCACTTTAACCTTAAATCTTCATTGCCAACACTACAAAATTTCTATTATTCTATTAATAATAATTGAAGTTTTTCAAAGGATAGTGAAATTTAATTAACAACTTCCAATAATTGAACAAATTTCAATGAATAGTAATTTAAATAGCTTAAAACTGAGTTTAAAGTAAAATATGCATGATAGTGAAAGACTTTCATGACCAACAAATTAAAATATTATACAATAACCTAAAATGCCAGTGACATACAGATAAAATTACCATTCTTACCTTTAAGATAAATTCCTGTCCTAATGGAGCAAGTTGGAATAGTTTATCTACAGCTTGTTGGGACCATTGTAATTTACTATCAGGTGGAATACCATCCAATCTGCAACGTATTGCCTGATAAGCAACAACAAAGAACAATTTTGTTAAAAGAAGAAAAAAAATATCAAGTTTTTTGTTTTTTTTTAAGTTTTAACATCATAGCAGTTCAGATGCAGACTGGTCTAACAAGACAACAACGGGAAAAATCCTGTTGTGCCCCCTGGAAAAGTATGTAGTTTAATTATTTTTATGACAAAATTGTGGGCCCCTTCTAGCTTTCTTTCCAGTAAAATTTATGAGTCCAGTCTGCCCCTGATAGTTGTTTTCCCTGATTATATCCAAATATTTTCCTATATAAAAAATATTTACTTGCACACCTGAAGTTAATATAATGAAAATCATTTGACCAAATTAAGTATTCGTTTTCTTGGAGTTCCTTAAATATTTCCTTAATGTAAAAGCACAAAAACATATATTACTGTAACATAAATGCACCATGTACTTCTCATTTAACAACGAGTTTTGACACACACGAAAGATTAATAGTTTTAAACCGCTACTTCAGATACTGGTGAAATAAATATATTAGTAGGAAGTTTTAACTTCCTATTACTCAAAGTGATGGTTAAAAACTTAAAAAAAAATCAGCTTCATGGCTGGATATGGAAATGCCCTCACCTGATGTGGTATTTGAGTTAATGTTTCACTAAGAGCTTCCAGTTCACACATGTTAAGAATAGGAACAGTAGCAGCTCTACCATAATCTACATATAAAACCTCCACCTGGGATGAAAAGAAATATTTAATAGAAAAAAAAAGGATGACAGCACTGTTATTTTGCTGGAAATTATGGAAAGCTAACATAATATTACTAATTCAATTATTTAGGTTAGTTAGGACTTATGATACTTTGTTTATAATTATGTGTAATTATCTAATACTATTCTTTATATCAGAACTGTTGGATGAAAAAAATTAATTACTGTTATCCAAATGGTTAGTGGAACATTACAGAATACATTGCATACTTTTGGCACAGTACTAAATCCAAGTTATTTTAAAGTTGCAGAAACACACACACACATACATACACCAAAAAAAGAGAATCATAACCATGTCTATTGGATTTCCATACCAAAAATGGTAAAACTCAACATCATTAGAAAATCACAATTACCCTTATAATTTCCAGCTTTTAATGTTAAATCTATGAAAATGTGAATGTTCTTTGCACAATAGCAAAATATGCAAATATGTTTAGTAGCTACTACAATAATTAGATCTATACTGGACCTGCTAAGAAGTTGAAAATATCACCAGTCAAAAGTCAAAGTTTATACTTTCATCAGTAATTCAAACCTTCTTGTTTATTTAACCAATGTATTATAAAACTAAAATAAATACTCCAAAACAGTTAATCCTAGTTCAAAGTTACCCCAGATATTTTTCTTTACCAAAAATCTTTGGACAATGTCAAATTTTAAAATGTTTTCTTTCTAAAAAAATTATACTTGACAGTTAGATTTCTCTTTTTAAAGATACTCTGTTTTTTGTCTCTTAATTATGTATAAATTAAGAACATAAATCTACCCGAATAATGAATATAAGCCAAAATTCAGAAAGATTTCTGTTAAATAAAGCTTACACAAAACAAAGATAATTTTTAACACTTTTGTTAGCAGAAAGGAATAAGTAAACTTTTTAGATATCAACAAAGAAAACCTAAAATTTCACTATGTTTTTAAAGCTATAAGATGGTGAATCATTATAACCAAAAGACCTAATATTTGTGATAAAAAGCACATTAGATTATACATTTTTTTTTTTTTTTTACATTCTTCTTAATTTGCCTGTGCAGTATAAAAGTAACATTTTATATCATTTTTTGTCTCCCTAATGTCGTTGCCCAAAAGGCCTTTCATTTAATACCATATTTTTTTTAGGTGAGCTGTAGAATGATGAACAAAGTTCATCTTAAATACCATTTATGTATGTGGAGCAAAAAACTTTAAAGTTCCAGTTTTTAATGCCAGAAAGCCTCCTGAGCAGTGACCCGTGACAGATAAACACATCCGTAATGTTATTCTTATGCAAATGTGATTTGAGAACAAACAAATCAGAAGCAATGTATGGTAATTTTATATCATATATTAAACACAATTTAAGATTTAGATCTTTTTCAAGCTGTGTAAGTATACAACTGAATTGGAAGCTTAGGCTATAAAGTTACTTATTTTTTCATTGCCAACTTTTATCAAACGTGCCTAACATCTCATCCAGCATATTATTACTGGATATTGTGACTATTATATACTTTTGTTTTTGCCAAAGATTGACTGAAAGAAGTTTTTAAATTCCTCTTACCACTTGGCATAAAAGTTCAAGCTTAACAGCCAAAAATTACGTTTGCTATACATGTGAATTTATAAGTAATATATCACAGGGCCAACTCACCATTCTTTTTTGTGTAATCAAAATTTTACACAATGAGTATTTTTTTATATACATAATTGTTTATTCACAGCCACAATATATACCTGTCTTAAACTGTACAGAATTGTCTCTGACTTTTGACATAAGAAGCTAAAGTGAAGATTGAAAGAGTTCAAATGTCAGATGTTGAGGGGACCATTTATACTTCCTTGCAGGTCATTTACTGAGACCTAGGTTTAATACCCACCCTTACATTCTTTGTTTTTTTTAAAGTAGTTTAGTACCTGTAAAAAATAAATTTTGCTGTATTTTCTTTCCTTTAATTTGAATTATCTTGTTGCACATTTCCATTCATTCACATTTACTTGTATTAATTTACTGTGTGTCATGTATCTGGACATTTCTGTATTGTTTGTTTCCCTACAGTGTTTTAATGTATCCCCAATGCAATCTAAAATAAGCTCTTAATAATAATTATATTTGTCTGAAATATTAGTATTAGGCTTTTTATATTTTATAAGACAACACACTTTATTCAGTCTCTTAGGATTTTTCAAATAGAAGAAAAGTGTTTAAAAGTATTTCAAACACACAATGTTTGCCATATCCATTGCCGACAATATGTTTCACTCCATACAGGACTCAGAGCTTCCCAGGCCAGTTGGGACACATAACAAACATAGTATTTACATTTATTTATTGCCATTTGAATTTATTTCTTTTCTAATAAAAACAATTTAGGTAATTTAGGCATTACCTAATGTAGGAGCTGGCCCAAATCACTGTCATAATTTCAAAATAAATTTAGTGTTTTCCATCTGTTGTTTATTTTTAACAAGTTACATTTTTTGCAAGTTTAAACTCGACTAGACAAGAAACTAATACAAAACACATTATGATACTAGGTTACAATTTAAATGCCAAAACCTGGCAAAGACTTATAAACCAACAGGCCTAAAATATGTGATAATTCATCAAATGATCAAACAATCTTATTGTTGAAATTCCATCTACAACTTCTCCAAATATTCAAGACTCCATGTGTCATTACATCATATCAATTCTAGAACTCTGTAGTCAACAATACAACTAAATATTTAGTTACAAATTTACATGTAATTGCTGAATACATTTTCAGAAGAGCTCTATCTACTTTAAACACAAGCTCATAATGGTTCCATGGTAGGCCACCTAGCACTATGAATCAAAGAACATATGAAACCATATGCATGAAACCATTCCAGTATTTACCTACACTACAGCTATTAAAAATGTGTAGTGAATATCTTGCAATAATGGCTTCAGCATTATTTGTTCAGTAAAGCATGAAAAAACATTGCAGATAAAGAAAACTATTAATTAGACATTTGGAAACAAAAGCTTGAGAGATACATCTTCATATTTTCTGATATGCTTAGTTAATAACATTTTTGCTTAAATTATGGCTTTTCTATCAGTTAAAAAAAGCAAAATTAAGAAATTACAAGTTTAAACAAATCTCTACAAAAATCTTTGCTGTTCTGATGCCCCACCCCCAGAAGTCAATGGTGCATCTGAGGGTTTATAATGCTACATATAGGGCTTCAATATCTTCCTTGGGCAGAGCAAAAATAACTCATTATGTAGCTTTGCATTTATTAGCAAACAAGCTATCTTGATAATAACAGATATTAAATGAGTACATCAAATATATAGGCTTAATTGCGAATATTTTCGTCACTGGTATTTAAATATGTTGGATTTAATACAATATATCCAAGTTTCCATTTCTTTAAAATTACAATGTTAATTCAGAAATAAATGACACTGATGAGTACTATAGTTTACACTCAAAACTCATAGCACTAAACATTTGAAACTCACTGACTCGAACATGCAAAGTAATTTTCATTTTAAGATTAAAAATACTTTGACACATCAGAAAAATTCCAAATTTCACATACAAAATCTTTATAATGTCCAGATAGTCATCAAACATTTCTTAAGAAAAACACTTTATACTTTATCTGATACTTTCACTAACGAATCTCTGTACGAGTTTGGTTGATTTGACCGATCTTGTGACCACCATAAAAAATTAGGAAATCAAATATAAGTTATGAATTTGTTGTTCTAGAATGAACACAAATTATAACACAAAAATATAAATGTTTAGACTAAATAGCTTAAATCTCATAACATTATATATATTTATTATTTTTATTTTATTGACCTTTCAGCCATGCCTGGCTAACAATACAGAAGATACAATGATGCGGCACACGTGCTCTCATGTTAACGTATCCAATAATATAAAACTGACTTTTAGTCTTTACAAAGTGACCTGTCTTGGCTGTGTTTTAGTAGACTAGTATTTTGTAAAATACAGTCACATTTCAATTATTATACATAATATGTACATACATTATTACTATTTACAAATAACTGCTTAAGTTTATTTTTCTTAAAACATAGAACAGTAAATACAGAAGTAATTCAAACAATGATCTATTCTAGTTATGACCTTTGTACCCAGTTGCTGCTTGTCATAAGTTGCCAAGCTTTTTAAAATTTTGCATGTGGAGGATATTAAACAAAACAATTTTTTTAAGTTTTATATATACAGTTGAATAACCATAAAACCATAACTTACTATATTGATACCACAGGATTACACTATAATTTATCAAGCTCAGTAACTAAGCTGTATTTGGATCTAAAAAAATATGAAATTTCAACCAGACTAAAGACAACCTACATCCTTGAAATCTTGGTTTGAAAGAACAAGATGGTGTCCTAACACATGAAAATGGCTGAGAAAGCCACTAGGGGAAATTCTGAGCTTTCAATTGGTTATTCACATATCATATATTGAAGTAAGTGTATATAAGGGACAACTTCCAAAAATGGAAAGAAGTGAGCGGGTCACTATGTTTGATTAAGTGAGTGAGTGACATCTCATCAAATAGAGAAGATACGAGGTTTTTATTTTATATTCTAGCTTGTCAGTATCAGTAATTTGAGTTCCTAATTCATACAGAACTACAGAATTTTCACATCACAAACATCTAATTTGAACCAGTGCTGCATTCAACGTACCACGTGACACACACAAAAACCAATGTATAAGAAAT